CGCAAGGATCTGGAAGCCTAGAGGACTTCTCGGGGAACCTGGACGTCAACGCACTGCTTTCGCTTCCCCGAAACGAGGTTTCAAACCCGACGTGAAAAGAAGCGGTAGCGCGAGGAACTCGAGGAGCGCAGCGGGTGCGCCCGTCACGTGGCTCTCCTCTTATCCGTTGTCTGCCGCTCTATCTTTTCAATTTCGGCGGCCGCTTCTTGTGGCGATTGAAGTCAGTGCTGATCGGCCAGCCTTTGTCAGTATAGAGGAAGCTATGGCGCGGGACACTCGACTGACAGGGCCCTGCCCGACAGGAAGATACAAACTTAAATGACGAAGCTGTTGATTGATGGACGTGCATCTTCACATATTTATTACAGTTATTTTTGGATTCAGAATTCAGATATTTGAAAGATAGTTTTGTAGGTGTATGTGAAGGCAGTAGGGGACCTAAAAGTCGCAAACCAAAAGGCAGAATAAAACAGCTTTTGATGCGCACCGCACGGCACACCGCTTTATGGAGGTGTCGAAAACTCCTGTGTCAAGTCTGAATACTGTTTTTTCCCACCAAACATCACTTCTTGTGTTCAGGCCCTTCTTCGAGATGCTTGCTATTACGTTATAACGCCTTAATTGGCCCACTCTTTTTCAATATTTTTACCTTCTCTTTATATGCCACCCTATTTCGCCCTTTTCTTTTCGTCACTACGCTCGGCTTTTTACCACTATCATGAAACGGCACCATAGGGTCTATCGTTCTTCATCTCGCACCCAAAATTCCAGCCATGTTGATGAGTAAGGGTGCTCGGAGCATGATTGCACCTAAAAGCGTGTGTTTATTTTTAACACATGCATAGCGAATTGCTGCGCAATTGTGTTGCAGGGGAAATGTGTGGTTTCAGTCCGACTCCTTTGGGATCCACGCCTACGCTTTCGGCGTCCTTCATCGGTTAGTTACCTATTTCTTGACCGCGCCCATAGGCCATTGATCACCGTTGATCGATGGTTTCCAAACGCCGTCAAGAAATTAATTTTAGTGCGGAGAATTATGTTCCACAACCTCGTGGATAGCCTCAGAACTTCAGTTTTGGTTTCAACGTAGGTTTTAGGTTCATCACGGGCTGGTGGGGTGTCAAAAATAGTTCTCAGAGCGGTGGTTTCACTTGTCTAACATGACTAACTGCTCGTATCAGCCTTTGAAACAAAAATGGCAATATTTACATAATTCAACTATGCGGTGGGCAAGTTCGTCTGCTCTTGCGCAGTGGGTAGCGGTGACGTCAGAACGCCGAGCCCTGATTGGCTGATCGCGCCCCCCTATCTGAGCGCCGTCTGCTCCTTTGCAACGTCGTCTGCTCGCAATGTCGTCTGCGTCTGTCTTACCTCTCCTGCGACTTTCGTAAGTCGCAGAAAACGATCTTGCGCCAAAAATATGCGTAAGCCATAACTTAGGAACAAATTTGTATTCACGAAACGAAATTTTCGCAAGTTTTGCGCAGGTTACAACGAAATCCTGCGACAGCTTTGAAGCTGTCGTACGCACTTCTTACGATCAAATCAGCATGGCCGACAGCGTCGCGGTCGCGACGACCCACGGACGTTTATTCTTCTATGTGCGCTTCTCACGCGTCCCGACTTGGAGCAGCAAGAAAAAAGTACTTGAAACAGACCACGACGAACAAGAACGCTGGATCCACAAACACCCGGGAAAAGCTCCAACGGCCATGATTCCACCGAACGCGACCAAGCGAGCATGGCAGTGAGGCCTAGCAGGCACTCCCGGACTCGGCGACCGTCTGCCCACGACCGGCTGGCGTGCTGAACGGAATATGCCCGCGCGACCCTTGTGAACCCTTCCCGTATTATACTTTGATCGCTGACCTCACTTTTGGATTGAGAGGTCAATTTCTTCCTCTTGTTATCTCCTTGTTTCCCGAGGCCACAGTGACTCTCGCCGGTGAAAAAGCGGTGAATCTCCGACAGACGCACGAAAGGTAAAGCAACCATCGCTTTGACTTGCAGACGTAGAGCAGACGACGTCAACTGCGCCAACCCGCCGACGCTGTTAAAGAATGGGGGGTCTCGCCGCACACGAAACGAGGGACAAAGTATTTGGGAGGGAACTTGCACGCTCACCTCCCGGTTCTTAGTAAACAAACCTCGGCGCCTCGGGACACCTCGCCAGTGAGTCCTTTGAATTCCCTCCTTGATGCGCGTCTGCTAGTTGTTAGACAAAAACAACGTACCGCTCGAGTTATTTCGTCTGCCCTCTGTGAAAGGCGAAGTCGAGCTCGCATGTAAAGGCCTGCACTTCTGAAAGTCGCAGGAAAGGTGAGACAGACACAGACGACGTTGCGAGCAGACGACGTTGCAAAGGAGCAGACGACGCTCAGATAGGGGGTCGCGATCAGCCAATCAGGGCTCGGCGTTCTGACGTCACCGCTACTTCCTTTCTCATGCGCAGAAGACGAAAAGGAGCCCACTTGCGAGGCGTATATCGTGGCATATTTTTTAAACTTTAACAGCTCTGGGCAGACTTTAAATTGCACCATAGGCGTCGCTTAACAGATGTTTGTCGGTAAACATCACAATAATTTTCAATGCAGTACACAGCCGGCATCCATTTTTTTATGTTCACAACAAGGCGGACAAAAAGGCTAAATATGAAGGAACTGCAATTAAGGCTATGACAAAACCAACGTAGAACACAAAAAAAAAGCACTCATCTGAAGATGTGAGGTGAACTAGCTGTTTCACCAATATAAGCATTCCTTCGTTTAAAAGCACACGTGTTACAGAGGCCAACACTCGACGAATCAAAAATAGACAACGTCAGTTAGAGTACACTAACCTTCAGAAGTAATAACCGTGGGTGTGGAGAACACTTTTCATATTGGGATTTTTTTTTTCTCGTTTAATTCGACATATATCTGTAGAAGTTTCGGTGTTTATAAGCCTTCCGCAAGTACATTGTATTTTCAAGAAATAAAGTTTTAACACCCTTTTCTCACATCATACCAACTTCTGTATTTTTTTACAAAACAACTAATAGACCGCATTTTAATGTGTCATACTGCTTCATACGCAAGTTAGAAAACTAAAAACGTTTGCACGGATCTTTTCAAAATTTCTGCTTTTCCCGTGGTTAGGAAAGAGTCAAGCGACTGGGTCACCGCTTGGCGTGTACACTCGATAGCAATAGACCTACTGCTAAATTTCCGAAGCATCAAGGAGATGCTGGGAATGTATCTACACGCGACACACGCGCTCGCCTTCCTGGTATAAAAACTTCGAAATAAATTATCCAAACGAAGCATTGACGAAAGCGCGTGCAAGAGGCCATTTGTTTTAGGAATTTGGTGTAGAAAAGCGACTGCTGAAGAAGCCAGTGCGTGCAACGCGTGTAACTACACTCCCAGCATTCTCCTTGGTGCTTGGGTAATTTATCAAATGGTCTGTTCCTGTAAAGCAGTCAAATTGGGGCGTGTGTTTGTTTATCTTTTTATTTTATTTTTATTTATCCAGTGCAGTACACCGGCGCTAATCCGGGTTTTAAACCCCTGGCACTCTCCCAGAACCTGAACCACTCAATCAGCGTCAAGCTAGGGAATTTGACGTCATCACCTAGCTCAGCCAATCAGCATAGAGTGAATCGGCGGCTTCACTTCTCGGTTTCGATCATTTCTATCCCCCCCCCCCCCCCTCCCCGACGAGGCAAAGCATGTTTTACCTTAACAAATAAGCTACATAGTGCAATCCAGCTACGCCTGTCACCCTTCGATATATTATTTCATTAAGACAATTAATGTACATTATGAGATTTCTTAATTCGCTGAGGATTTGTTCTATGCTGCTATTTTTTATCATAACTGACAACTTAAGGCACTATGTTCACTCTATGTGATTTAAAGCATGAAAGGCTTTTTAACGCTACCCCCATACCAAAATTTTATCCAGTCACCCGTCCCTCCGTGCATTTTCCGCTAAATTTAGCGGGGAAAATGGCGCCGCGTGAGGTCACGCGGCGTCACGTGGCCTAGACACGTTGGAGAAATCTACGGCATGTGACCTGCGCGTCAACTCAGTTTCCCCGCTAAATTTAGCAAAAACATTCACGTCATTTGGCCAAACCATCAATCCAGTTTCCCGAACAATTTAGCGCGAGGTTGACGTCATGTGACCAATATATCAATTCAGTTCCCTGCAATACTTTGCGGAAAATTCACGTCTTATGACCCTGACATCAATCCTGTTTCCCCGCTATATTTAGAGGCGGAAAATCGACCGTCAAGTTACCTATACAACCTTTCAGTTTCCCACTGAATTTTGCGTGAAAAAATACGTTGCTTGACACACCAACTCCCTCACCAATTCCCTCACCAATTTCCTATAATGCATTTCATGCATTATAGGTCTTCGTAGGTAAAGGTCGGTGCCAATTTTGTGACTCCTTCTTTCGCGTTGTTTTTTTCTCGGCTAATGCGAAGCGGTAATATTGCCGCGTGCTTGACCGAAAAGCAAAGCTTTTTTGTTCTTCTAGAAGATTCGAGTTTGCGCTTACACCGAGCGTGAAAGATCAGGGGGCCGGAATGACCTTGCTTAGTCAGTCTCGCCTTAGCTTATTCCCAAACATTCTGGGCCGAATCTTCGGCAAGCGCGGTGGTGCCCATCCATTCACTCATTCGCTCTCGCGCTAGCAAGCTGTCCCGCCGACAAACCGTTCCTCGCTTCCGTTGCCGCCGACGCTCGCTGCTGCTTTCTCGACGTATGTTTTCCTTTTTTTTGTTTCTGGCACAAGTTTGGCGATTCAACCTTTATTTTCAGTCCAATATTCATCGTCCCGTCGCCTTCATCCGTGACAATTAGATGCTCGGAGCCGCCACGACCCGCGTTTCTTAACCCTGTATTCCTAATCTGAATACAACTATTGAGAATAAATCCCATGATGTTTTTTTCGAGGAGCAGATGCGATAGAAACAAGAAAACGTTTACTCTTTGTCTTGATTTCGCAGCTTCAGCGTGAGTCCGTATGAAACGTTCACGAGTTGGAACGTGTTTTCTTGTTTTATGGTGGTCTGGATGTCCCTGTACTGCGCCAGCCAGACCCAGGTTCAGCGGTACTCTAGCATCGCTTCGCTCAAGGACGCCAGAAAGTAAGTGTGTGGCCAATACTGATAACTGCGAACCTTTCCCATCTCAAATACCGCGAAAGAAAACGTACCGCCGAACTCTCACTCTTCGTTCGATTCAAGCTCTAGCTGTTGGGACCGGGCACCGAGGTTAGAGAGCTTTCTATACCTATAACTCAAAAGTTAAAATGGCGTTTTGTAACTTTTCAATGAGAAAATGGGGACTGTTCCGGGTATCGGACGCCGTCACCTCCACGTTGCCGCGGGACAAGTTGGTCCCTAAAATGCACACTCGGCAACGCGCAGATGGGTTTTTTATGCGAAAACCGCGGGTGTTTAGGGAGCACGCGACCTACAATGGGAGCGCCACCCCTCCTTGGCAGCTGGATTCCAGCGCCACCAACGACCCAGTCCGCACAAAGTGAATCAAATGCCCGCTCCGACCTCTTCTAATGTGCCAACAGGGCCTTGCGGCCGCGTCTGCGCATTCCCCCGGCCGCATTTCTCGATCTCACTCTGGAGTGAAAGTTTCGCACCTTGACATTATAAAATGTATTCGTGACCAGCATTGCCCTGCAGGTGTCCTCACGTCATTCAAAGGATATTCTCAGAACGCACGTTCAATCGCATCCTTCGCAATTGTAAACGGCAACGACGTCAACTCAACTTTATGTTTTTCGTTTTTCCGCGCTGCAACATGTCCCTGATTGTGTGTTCGACGGCCTGGAAATCACAGTAATTTATAAAAACTACCCGACGACTAATTTTCACTTCTCTTATTATTAGATCGCTCTTCACTCCCTCGCAGATTTAGTTTAAGGACGCACCGAGATCGAGATGATCGTGACTGTTTTCGCCCCGCATAGGTCTGTGTTCTCAATATTGCGGTTTTTGTGTAAAAAAAAAACAAGTTAGCGTCGAACGTATTTTTTTTTTTTTTTGCAGTTTGTATAACGCTTTGCTCAGATAAGTTGACATTGATTAAAAACTTAGGCTGGCTAATGCACAAAATGCCTGTGCGAAATGTCTCGATTAGAAGCCCCACAGTCGCGCGTTAATCTTGTAGCACGCTTCGAAATCTCCCAAACACCCGTTAATTTAATGAACCTCATTCGTCGAGTCCCGTAAGACATAACAAAATAGTAATGCTTTGCTTTTGTTATAGTGCTCACAAATAATTATAATTTATTTGTGTGTAGTCCGTTAGGATTCCCTAAGACGAAAAAAAAATCGCATTAAACGAAGCATACAAAAAGGAACAAGGTGAACAAAAACACAGGAATACTATCACCCTATACGAACTATTATACAGCTTATACAAAGAATGCGTACATCGCATACACAATACACACACACACACATATATATATATATATACTATACAAAGTGTATACAAAAAAAGCAAATTTAGAAACAAAAATATACGGAATCAAAAATTAGTTAATCAGTAACAAAAACGCTACGACTTTAACGCAAATGACATTGTTGCAAGGTTGCCTTGAATAGTAAAAACAATGAAAAAATATCTAAGTCAGAAACTTCAGTATTTTGGGACGTCTGCATTCTTGATAAGGATTTACTGTGTGCACATGCATGCTTTGGTGATAATGCACAAGAAAATAACGAGCGGTTTTAGTAAGCACAGGGATATGAGCACAATCAAGTAACACTTCAGATTTTACAACCTGATGTACTACCTTGTGTAAAGAAATAGGTATATGAAAGCTCTTTGTGCTTTTTTTAGACTTTACGGTTTAATTATACTTAAACAGGATTCACACTTGACGAACCCTATTCGGCCATAGTATTTGGAATAAAGGATTTTTATTCATCTTCTCGGTACATTTTTGATAATTTCTGCTTAGGTTGAAGAAATTGGATTTTAAATAACTGATCCGTACTCAGGTCCTCAATAAACAAGGCTACATAGTAAATGTTCAATGAAAACAAAAGAAGTAAAATATCGTGACAAGTGAGTAATCATTTCTCACATTCTTAGCGCTGAGCCAACAATCATGGAAGCATGTTCTCGAAAGAGAGGTTGCTGTGAATACAAACGCCAAAGTGTTAACCAGAGACACTCAAGCTATAAAAATACCATCGAGACCATATTGACAGAGCAAAATATCACGCTTCCCCAACAAAAAAAAAAAAATAAACTTTTTTTTTATGAAAATATAGTTTATACATTTTAAAACAATTCGGATGTTGCATAAAAATATTTGTGTAATATAGAGCTGCAATTATCAAGGATCTTTAAAAAAAGATGCATCATCAGCGAAACCAAGAATATTAGAATATGTATTAAATGATTTCATACATATATAAAATTAACAACAGCGGCGTTAGGTTGGGTCGTTGGGGTACACCAGAAAACGACAAAAACCGGTGATTTACAATGGTTGCTGTTTTTGATAAGCATAAGACTTTGTGCGTATAGACACTGAAATCGTCTCAAGTTTCAAGCCAAGAACTTCGCAAGTTACTTTAAATGGTCCTACGGCGAAACTTGACATCATCCCCGCCGCTGTAGGGTACAGACGTATAAAAAAGAAAAGGGCGAACTATTCACTTTTCCGTACTTCATCGAAGAAAGTTGGTCGTCTTGCTAAAGCGGGTTTTCGGGATATTTATGTCGTTACGAGAAGCAAAAACGTCATATATTATCCGTGGCCGATTTCTTATTTCTGCCGTCCGAAAATAGACCTCATAGTGGTGTGAAAGAAGTTTGCCGGTTCCATTTTGTGTTGGTTGTGCGTGCATTCTTACCTGCGACAACGACAGGTAGGTAGCGTTTACCGTCGGAACAATTTCTGCAATTTATTTAGCGCAGTGGTTCTCAGCCATGGATGTGTCGGGGACCCCATGCGGACCGCTGGCAGTGATGGGGGACCCCTTCCATCGAAGGAGGGGGGGGGACGTTTGTAAGTTAACACATCTGGAGCATGAAACAGGTGCCTTTTATTGCTACGTAGCAGAAAAATATAAAACAAAGGTGCCACATCACTTCATTTTGGTCAGTTCATCAATACGTGGCACAGTCGCGCTTAAACAGAGTTGCATATCTGCGGCCACATTCAAACTGTTCCGGTATTTACTTTCCAGGTATGCAAGCCTGGAAAAAACATGCTCACATGCATACGTTGTAGAAAACTGTAATAGAAGCTTTACAACCACCTCATGGAGAAGGGGGAACATTTCTGCAGTCCCCAACCAAAATGCCTCAAGGCTCACAGTGGGAAACCTTGCCTTCATCACTGTGTCTTCCTGAAGCTCCATCAACTCGTTTTCAGCTTCGACACGTTCATATGCCAAGCAAGCAACGTCAGCTACAAGAGGGGCCACAAGCCATGTGTCTGGGGCAGATTCTGGGAAGTAGTTCTTGATGTGGCACCTTAATGTTCTCAGATGGGCCATGATCGTGGTTCTGTCACTCCCACATACTGCCCCAGAGCCTGCAAGATCGCTGAGCAGCTTAAAAGGAGAATAGTCGTCTCTGCTTACCCGGCTCAACCAACTTTGAAGCTTTTTACAAAAACCTCTCACCTTATCCCCAGAAGAGACAACATTTGTACCCATCCCCTGCATGCTGCTGTTAAGTTGGTTCAGGTGCTCAAACAGGTCACACAGATAGGCAAGCTTAGTCACAAAAGAAGAGTCATGAAAAGGATCTCCGAGCGCCCTATCTTCTGCCAAAAAAACACTCAGCTCCTCTCTAACCTCGAACACCCTTGCGAGCACTTTTCCGCGCGACAACCAGCGCACCTCGGTGTGCAGGAGTAGGTGTACGTTGGTGCTCAGCACCCATCTCCTCGCACAGGGAGGCGACTGGCCTTAGGCCTTGCCTTTACGCTGTTCACGACTTTGACGACATGTTGCATGACACTCGCAAGCTCTGGACTTAACTCCTTTGATGCCAAAGCCTCCCTATGAAGCATACAATGTGTGAATGCTACGGCACTGTTTACTTTCTTAACGAGCCCTAAAAAACCTACATTGTTTCGAACCATGGCTCGAGCGCCGTCGGTGCACACAGCTGCACACATGTCCCAACGAAGACCGCGCGAAACAAAAAAATTGTTAATGGCATCGAAAATGTTGTGACCTTTTGTTGTGGTCTCGAGTTCCAGACAACAAAGAAGCTCTTCGGCAATGACAGAGCCATCCATTAAGCGCACGAACGCTACAAGTTGTGGGCTCCCGGATACGTCGCAGCTCTCATCGATGGCAAGAGAAAACTTCCCAGCCGACTTCAATTTTTCAATTACTTGATCCTGCACGTCAGACGCCATTTCTCTAATTCTCCGTGCTACGGTGTCGTTCGAGCATGGTATTTTGTCCAATTTTTTCACGTGCTCTTTGCCTATGACAGCACCGACGACGTCCTTTATGCAGGGCGTAAGCAGAGTCTCGCAGATGGTGTGAGGCTTCATCTGTTTGGCCACGTGGTAGCTGAGCATGTAGCTTGCCTTGATAGCATCCGCCAAGCTTGCCAGATGAAACGAAAGTCTAGCTTTGTACGCTGAACCAGTGGCGTCACGAGGGTCAGCGGCACCAGCGGCGGTAGGCCGCCGCGACCCCCCTCCCTCCGCTCTCGTGTGGCTCGCTGCGACTCCCCCTTTCGTTTTCCCCATCCCGCGACGCGTTGTATACATGGCGGGAGTTGATGGCACATGCACCAAAGCAGACTAGCAAAGTCTGCCACCTAACCGCGAGGCCGGAGCCTCTGAAGTGCCGATCAGCGTACGCACAGCGAACAAAACGCACATTGAGGGTCGCCGGCTGCCGCGAACATCGTCAGCACAGCTTCCGTAAAGCACGGCGAACAAGCATTCGGCGACCGATCAAGGCTAACGGCCCGATCGGACACCGCAGGCACGTCCACAAACAACGCGATGCCATTGATCAATAACTTATTTAAAACTGTGGTTTGATAATTTCGACCTCACCTTGTTTGGATTATCCAGCTTTTGGGATTCCAACTTTCGTTTCTTGGTTTCGAAGAGCTCAGTGTCCTTGTCTTGGAAGCTTGGATACTTTGTCCGGAGATGGCGTGTCAACTTCGTCGGCGCCATGCAACTTTGAACGAGTACTTCACCACACAAAACGCATTGCGGTTTGCCGCCGATATCGGCAAAGCCAAACCAGATAACTTTCATTGTATCCACGTAACTTGAACATGGCTACGCAGCTCAGACAAACACGTAACTTTGCGTCCTAGGCCAACCGGGTGAGACTCCACGGCACAGCCACCGATGCCAGTCGAAAATCAGGATCTGCCATATGCGATATGATAATCCCGCTGCGGGGCACCCGAGACACGTAGTTCGGGAAGGTGTGGGGAAGAGGGAATGGAGGTGACCGAGATGACCTTGTGCGGATTGCTGCTGTAGTTCAGGAAGCAGGTTTAAGATCAGTCACGGCCGGACTGAACTACAAAAAACGTGCCAACTAAAAAAAAAATTTGTTGAGGGTCTCGTGGACTCCCATTTGAGAACCACTGATTTAGCGCATCATAGAAGATATGAGTAAAACATGTCTTGATCACATCTTAAATGACCTATGAAGGCAATTAGCGCAGCTTGTTCAACGAATATCAGACGCCTTGTTTTGCATTCAGATCCCCTTGTAAAGAATTACTGGCAATCAATGACTTCAAACGTGAAATGTCCTGGTAGAGTGTCGTTAATTGAGTCGTTTATTTTCACTTGTGTGCTTATTGCAGAAAAGTGAGTGTTTAAGCCCATTCATTTTTAGCTTCATGTTCTACACAAATTTCCGGGGTAGTATTTATGCAATTATTCGTCGTTACACTCCGTACGTGAATCGCAATTCCTCCCCGCAGGGCGGTGCTGCTTAACGTCCCCGGGGTTTCGATTGCGCTGCTCTTATCCGTCATCGCCGGCCTTGTTCTGTTCGCCGTCTACAGTGACTGCGATCCAAGACTTACCGGCGACATCAAAAAGGCTGACCAGGTAAGATTTATTCGTAGCTTCGAAGCTTCTCTTCATCTATTTTCTTGTTATGAGTTTCTATCAAGACACGGGGCAGCACTTTGAAGATAATTGGTGATGACAACCGGGAACATCTTCAAGTACACGACATCTGGGCATCCCCCTTTCGCCGCCATGGGATGTTTCTAGCGTGTATTTTCTAACCTGCTTCCAAGTATTCGCATTTTTATCGGTAGAGGACGTGAATATTTTTTCAGCTTATACATATTGGCAGGCGAATATTCTTAGTCAGCTTTGTGACTTCATTTATAGATGCCGTATAAAACACCGCCCGATTTTGACGCCCTTCTAAAATGTGCCCAAGGCTGCTAAACTGTCACGTGCGTCGCTTTTTTTTTAAGTTTTAGTTTGAGGTGACCAGACTAACTTTTAACGTGCCGTTTTTAAAAATTTTCATACAAGAACCATTACGAAAGCTATTGGGAAGACTCACAGGTGGTGATTGTAATTCCTAACTAGATGCTTTTTCGTTTTGTTTATGCAATCCACCACCTTATTTTTAAATATATGACTAATGTTTCTTGTGTTCGTTAGTAACTTTTCAGTTTACAGCCACTTGTTTCAGTACATCATGTGCTGGATTACCTTAAAAGAAAAACATCGCGCGGTAGATTTATATTTTCCCAAGAACGTACAAAAATCAAATGTATTTGTGCTGACGTGTAAAACACTTAAAGAAACCCGGCTTCGCCGTTTTCAAGTGTTTCTTACGGGTCGCTCGAGTTTATACCTGGTGGTGGAAGCTTGAGAAATTATTCTTGCCGTGCACGCCGAAATTCGGCCACTATACGAGAAATATAGAAAAAAGTAGAAAAGAGGATTTTTAGCCTTCACCTCATACGTTGTTTGAAAAATCATGACACCTATAGCATTTTATGAAAATATATCTTTTTGCATCTAAACTAGGCAGTTATATGGAAAAAGTTAATGCTGACGATGTGTGCTACTGACATGTCTGTTGATGCATGATCACCTCGAATCACATGCAACCTCCCAAACAAAATTTTATCCTCATAAAAAAAAAAAATCGCAATACGTTTGATTGATGCTTTATAACTTATAAAGCGCGGGTACACTAACATTAGAATGTTAAACATCATGATTTGTTTGGCCAAACAAAACCAGGTCAGCATATTCTACTGGAGAGATTATGTCTACAATTTTTTTGAAAGCCAAAGCGGTCCAGTAGTTTGCTCATCTTTCAACTGGATAAACAATTAGACGATAAGATGTTTCCTTTGGATCAGCAACAAACTAATCAAATGAGTTAGAAAGAACCAGCAAAACCTTAAATATCATCTTTTATTACGACAATGGTCCGCCTTCAATACTTTGTCATTACAGAAACAATTACTCGCTAATAAAAAGGCCGTGGGGAATTTTTAACGTTACCAAGTATCTCAGGTTCGCAGTGGTATTATAATTTTGGAGCAACACTGCACAAAGTGAGCCAGTATTGTGGGGTTTATTTTAAAAGTTTATCAACTCGAAGAAAATAGGATCCAAGGGAGCCTTGCAGCTTCCAGAGAGGTGCGGTTTGCAAAACGTGAGAACAACCAACACGCAAAAATCAACATCTTTGATTATTCGCCGCGTAAAAACACTAAAACTCTTGTGAAAACCAGCCAGATTCAAATTTTGCAAGAAAAAGGTTAAGTAAAGTATAGGTTTTTACGAACTAAAGCAACGAATAGCATCTTGCATGCTTCAGGAAAAGACTACGCATTAATTTTGACTACCTGGAATTTGTTTAACGTGTAACAAATATATTGGTTGAATGCAGGATGTCGAACCGAAATGCTTTTCGTTCCGGTTTTCGTTCCGGTTCAGGGAAAACGGTTCGGCTCCGGTTCAACTCCGGAGTGAAAAAAAAAGATGTTCGAACCGGTTCGTACTCGTATGCTACAAAAGCAATTGACGACAGCAAAAGATAAACTATGCATATTTTATAAAAGTGTTGCATATAAAAAGCAAAGTCTCACATTACTGTGTGGAACTAACGAGCTAGTGCTGGGCCACCTCGGGACGTGGGTAAAAGCGCCATTCAATGTCAGGCAGCTGACCGACGAAGCAGGACGTCGTCAAGCGTATGCAGAGAAAGACGGCACCTCTGAGACGATAAATGGACTTCAGTGCAGAAAAGGCTCGCTCCACGCTGACCTGGATCGCAGGCACTCCTGGGGCTACTTCCGCTAATGCGCAGAGTTCTGGATGTCACTCCCGTCTTTCCTCCCAAAACTGCAACACGCTAGCGTCCCTTCAAAGCCGCGGCTCCTTGTCTAGCATTATCAGGAGGCATGCTATATCAAGTGGGCTACTGGTACCTCCAACGTGCACGCCAGCCTCAACCTCTTTTTCCTTGAGGAGCGCTTTCAGGGCGTCTTCCGGATCTTCTGGAGCCACCGCAGTTTCAGAAGGTAATATTGAATCTTTCTCGCCTTGCAGAGCTGTGATCCGCCTCCAAGTCTTTGTCAAATGCAACGTGGCCCGGTACTTTGCTCAGGGGTGAGAAGAAGGTGGTAGCGGGAATCCATGCATACAGCTGCACAGAAGACATCCGTGTCAAGAAGTTGTCGCTCCCTCTTTTTTATTGACTGGACGAAGGCCTTTGTTAATGGCGACGATATCGTGGAGGTGTCCATAGAATATCGCACTAAGCGCCGTAGAAATCTCCTACATTTAGCTGTCAATTCTGCTATGGCTTCGTCTCCACTTCTGCCGGGCGAAGCTATACTGCGAGCATTTCGACTTTCGCCCATACGTCTTCAGTCTACCAGGAGCTTTCTTCTTTTGAGAGCAACCCTCCAGCGAAGCCTTAGTTCAAGTAGCATGGTTCAGGTTCAGGTTGGTTTTATTGTGCGTGCACTGAGGAAGGTCGTTAATATATATTAGGAACAACAGAGGTCCAAGAATGGAGCCCTGGGGGACGCCAATAATAGTAGTTCTAAAGAGGGAATAGACACCAGAAATATAGACGACCTGCTGTCTGTCCTGTAAATAGTTGCTAATTAATGCTAGTGTGGGACCAGTTATACCAATAGCGTCTAGTTTTGCAAAAAGTATATTATGGTTAATTGAATCAAAAGCTTTCGAAAGGTCAATAAATAAAGCACCAGCAAATTTACCGCAGTCTATGGCTCTTTTAATATCATCAGTTAAGGAAATTCGTGCCAGGTCAGTTGAAAAACCAGCCCTAAAACCAAACTGACGGGGCGACAGACGTATAACAACTAGTTTTTCAATAATTTTGCTAAAGAACGAAAAAATTGCAATCGGACGATAGTTAGTTACAAGGCGCTTATCACCCTTCTTAAAAACAGGTATTAGCTTAGCTACTTTCAATACGCTAGGAAAAACACCAGTTTTAAATACGAGATTTATAGTGTAGGAAAGAACGTCACAGATTAAATGAGCTATTAGTTTAATACGAAAAGAATAAAAGTTGTCAAGACCAGCGCTTGTTATTTTTAGGTTATGAACGACAGTGCGGACTTCAACAGGAGATACGGGAAAAAGAAAGAAGCTATGAGGTAAGCGCTGATAATGGTGGTCGTGAGGAATAAAAGGCTGAGGATGATCAGTGAAAAATGAGTCGCTAAAAGCGTTCGCAATGTCAGATGGGTTATTGTAGGTAACGTTGCCAAATTGAACAGAATTTATGGGGGCAGTCGTGGTCGTCCTGTTCAAGAACGAGTTTAGTATTTTCCATTGCTTTTTGACGTCGTGAGCATATTCAGCGTGGACATCCACTGCATTGGACAATCAAGCATTGGTTTCTTCAATCCTAACTTCCTGATCAGGGACATAACCCATTCAACACGTAGTTTCTTAACAAGCGCAATTTCCGCAAAAATGAATTTTCGTTTTAAATATTTTTGGTTTGTTTTAAATGTTACTGTGTTTTTCGCCACACAATTTTCACGCGACCTGACTTCGCGTATGAACTTAACACCGCAGGGAAAGCATATCGGATCCGCTCCGGAGCGGAAAAATTATTTCGTTCCGGTCCAACTTTGGTTCGAGCGAAAATAACGTTTTTTTTCCGCTTTCGTTTCACGGTTCGCGTTCGGTTCAAAACCATGGTAGTATGTGATATCAGCTGCGCGAATGTGACCCTAACACTATGGCAAAAGAAAGTATGAAACACTTACTACTGCTTACGTGTAGGAATGCGAAAGCATTCCTACACGCAGCGCATTCCTACAAGCAGCGCGCCATGTCTTCCTATCGCACGCGGCGCTCCAATGGAAACATCACGCTCCCCCACAGCTCAGGTGCGTCGAAATCCGCCGGCTCCAAGGCTTCCATGACAATGCATCTGTGTTGCTGTGCTTTTCTTTGTGCTTTATTCCTGAGGCGCATCCGCTTTGACCTAGAACGCCCCGCCGGCTTCCGTGACCAAGCATATTGTTGCCAATGGGAATTTAACTGCCGTTTTGCTGCTACAGACAGTTACAAACAGCGCTGGCTTCGCTCCATAGCACATTTTTGCCTTCGCATTAAAATGAACTTCAGATAATGCGCGAAAAATCAATACATGTAGGACTGAGGCATTCATCTTTTGTCCCCAAAACAAAGATTGTAGATAAATTTAAGAATCTAGACGTTCTTTTTGTTCAGTACTTATCTTGGAACAATCACGTAATAGACTTACGCACTTGATTTTTTTTTTTTTATAAATTCACAATACTGCAGACCCCGTTAAAGCCCAGGCAGGAGTGGGGGAAAGAATAAAAAGAGAAGGATGGCAAGGACACAAACACACACATTCCTCAACACAACACTGATACTAAATAACATATATTATCGCAACCTCCAAAACAAGTCCACCAGGGGTAGGGCTATCAAGAGTGTCTTTTTTGAGCAATTTCATTATATTATGATCCTAGGAAAAAACGAATTTTTAAAAATATTGTTCGCTCTTTGGTATGGCTTTAAGACTTCCATGGTTAAAGCGTGTA